GCCTGACGTACCGCAAACCTTATTACTACGGCGAACGAACCGTCCCGGTGATCGTTGGGCAAACGTTTCGTTTACCGAGATTGTTTGGCAGTTAATTCACCTCTCGGCAGGCTCTTCTGATGTCCCGAGTACCCTTCGCGAACCGCGATTCTTCAAAAATATTTTCACGGAGACGAGGGGCAGAAAAAGATGCAAAAAGGAGGTACCTTCTCGTGGCAACGAGGCGGAATAACAACGAAGAGGGACGTTGCTTTTTATCGACTTAATTAACACGCGGAACCTTGTTTTCCGTGCGGGGAACACACGAAAGCGTGTGTTTTGCAGGAATTCCTGAAGCGGAACACTCTGATCCGTGGACACGGGAATTCAGAGGCGGAATTTAGTAGCTTAGCATTTAGAAGGGATTGACCGTTTGAAAGGGCGGCTTTCGCTATTGACGTCTGAATTTGATTAAACGATAATCACTGAAAATATTTGAAAATTACGAACCTCTGATCGATAATGACGTGTTCTAAAACGTTCTTCTCAAATTTTTGTTTAATAATTAACAAGAATATATTGTGCTATAAAATGTAAATAACTAATTTTTGTTCCCTTTACTACAGAAATTTCGTCTAGCACTTCAAATTCATTTCTATTGAAACCAAGGATCTTAACTGCATGTTAAGAAAAACGTTTTAATGTAAAAAGAAAAGTCGAGTTCGTTAACTGTAGAAGATCAAACACGCGGAACAATATTCCATCAAATCTAAACGCCAATATGCCCCATGTTTTCATGTTCATTTGCTCAGCTTTTCGAAGAAGAAGGGTGCGATGTGTTATCCATAGATTCTGTAACTATTATTAGGAAAACATTTGACGCCTTGGACTTCGCGCGTCACGATTCGACCACGTTGAACCTCGTAAATCTTCGTGAAGGCGATTTCATTCGAATTCGACGAAGCCCGGCGCGGCAATCCGATCTGCACGCGCGCCAGACAATTCCCGCAGGAGCTCACGTCCGCAAATCGCGGCGAGATTTCGTACAGCGCCAGTATTTCACCGGCACCGTGCCTTCAGCGGCCTCCTTTCTCCGTTGGACAAGCAAATTATTAGAGATCCACGTAGTAAGATTTCCCAAAAGGGCACATATCGCCAGAACAAGAAAACAGGGGAACATCAGCGGGCTAACGCGATAAATGTAACCAAGTTTCTGGGCTCGCGAGCCCAGAAACAGTCCACGCACTCGGAATACCGTAGCAATTTTTTGCTCCAACTTTTTCATGCTCCGCCAATGACATAATACATCAAAATGCATAGAGTGCCCTCCAGAATACGGGCGCAGCTGCAGTTTCGAGTTCAGTCCTCAAAAATGACGAAAAAACACTAAAAAAAACTATTTTATTCGTTCTACTCTTGCTTTCAAGTGGCGACCGGTTGTCACGTTGCATCGATAGTAGAACAGCGTCGGTAGAAAATAACTGAAAAATAACGAAGAACTTGCGTTCTGAGTCCACGTTCTATATTTCAGGAAAAGTTTCCTCTTCTGAATGCAAACAGGTTCAACATTTTTTCCACATCCGAGGGGAAATATTCGAGAACGTCGAAGAACCGACACATTCAACGGAATATCGGTTGACAGTCAAGATGGCGTGTCTTCACGCGCGAAAGAAGGAGCGTGACTGAAGGATTCGGTTGAAGAGAGTTTTCACGGGGAGAGAAAGAATTCCGACGCGAAATTGTTCGCCGTGAACAAAGCCGGCGGGAGAGAGCGATCCGCTTCGTATCGTTACAAAGAGAACAAAAAACCTTCAGGAGTACGGCGTAGTGGGTGACGTATCGTGGATATTCGAAACAAGAAGATGGAAGATGAAGCGTATCCTCTCTGGGGAAGACACTATTGAGGAACGGTATAGCGCGTTCGAGTGTCTACGGCAAGAACTATCGATCGGAGCTCGATTCTTCGAGATGTTGGCGAACGATATGAAGATTTTCAATATTGAAATCCGAAGGAGGTTGTCTTCGCGTCGAGCGGAAATCTTGATTAAGTTAGCTACGGATTTTCGCTGAAGAAAATCATGAACGGGTCATTCTCCTTCGGCGATGATCGTTAACGGCCAGTGAGCTGATTGAACGCGACGATCGAGTATTCAGTCATCGCGGATCGAAAGGGTGAAACCGATTAGTCGCCGTTTCCCGTCGACATTGCCGGCGAATCTTCTTACCGAGATAAATCTCGGCGGGCCGTTATGGGCGCGGGGTTCGTAAGTCGAACTTCTTAACAAAGAGTCCAACGGATGGGGAAGTCTATAGCAGTATCAAGGTTTAACGAATCTTTTTAAATTCACGGCACGCGTTCCCTAACCACTTGGTCCCGTAGTTTTCCTCGGTTTCCTTCCTCTCGCTCTTCACCCACACCAACGACTTTACTCTTCCACCTCTGTAGTCTGAGCCTGTATTGGCGTATCAGCGTGGGACAGAGCCCTAAGGCGAGAGTAAACCCGATTAGACGGTACACTAAATCTCATTCAACCAGCCTTCATTGTTAAGTGCCTCCGCCGTCTTTCTTTCCTCGTAAAAAGCGTTCCACAAGCGCCCTGAATTGCCAAGCGATGTTCTGTCTCGCGGAAATGTTCCTGTATTTTCGCCCTTTTCCTTGATTTTTTACGGCTCCCCCCTTCTCCGACGTCTACTCACCGTGAAACAGTCCATCCCAGGGGAGTAAATTATGTGCTTCACGACTTATCGGACTGTCGATGTTCCTGAAGACAATTGCGATCGAACGGTTTAACGATCGGGCCGACGCCGTTTGATTTACCACTTCCACAATGGTAACTTGAACTTTCGCGTTTAAGCGTGGAGCAATTTAACCGCTATTGCTTCTTCCTTCTGTTTTAGAAGACGTGGTTCCTGATTTGATACAAATGTAAAATAAATATTTGGAAATTTTATATTTCCTAATTCTTGTAAAATTCTTTGTTAACAACGCTTTCGCCCTGAGACTTCCGTAGGTTTTAGATACTCCGTTTAAAATGCTTAATGCGCAAAGGGTGTTTCATCGATGATGTACGAAAGGAAAATATGGATGCATAATAAATGCGATGTAAACACCGGCAACATCAGGGATCATCGATTAACCCGTAAGAAGCATTACAAGGGAGACTCTCCGCGATCGGGTAAATATTTTCACAGGCGGTTCTCTAGCGCCGACTAATCGCTAGTACTTAACGAGAAACGTTGAAACCTTGATGTGCCGGTCCTTGCTACGATCGCATCATTAAACCGCAACGCCCTTAATAACGATGAGATACCGCGCATGTGGTAACCGCGTAACCAGATGGTAAGAACTCGAATCGCATGCATCACTGTCGTGCAAATTGCTTTTGCTCCCCCGCGCACTCTTTCAACGCCACCCATTCCCGCGTTCCTCTGGTTTGATCGTTCTTACGTAACCTGTGCCAATATCGGCGAGAATGCTGCGTGATATAGCGCAAACGATTTTCACCCTCGGAAATGCATTCTCTCATTCATGATCTTCTAAATACGATCCTCGTTCCTCGAACTACAGTAAACGGTTTCTAGAGATGAACCAATCGAGGTATCGTTTTCTCATTCAATTATGAATTTAGATATGATGTATTATAAAAATACAAACGCATGCATTAGAATGTAAAACCACGATAATAACTTTGGATATACCAGTAAATGATCCAACAGCAATGAGTTGGTTTCAGGTCTTCATAAATTGACAGCAAACGTTATTTAATACAGTCTACTAAAATAAAAACACAGAATTTAAAAAAAGTGGTTCATTACTCATTGGCATTCTCCAGTAACGGCAACGACTAAACACCACAGAAAGCTGTTAGAAGTGATGTGGTAGTTAGTAATGCTAATAAGGTGGTTTATCAAGGTCGAGATCAAAACGGGGCAACGCAAGAGAATTGCACCCGCAGTGAAACATGGTGCTATAATTAAAGCGCATGACGTCAGGAAAGATGAAAGAACAAAGCGACATGCTTAGAGCGAAAGCAAAGCAGTGTCGGCAAACGTAAGCTGCGAATGCTCACCTGGTCGCCGTCGTGTCCTTGCCAGCTGTCGTGACTCTGCAACAAGAAGAACACGATATGAGTACGAGTGTTAACGTCAGACAAAGCGGGGGACGAAAGTGAGCGTTAAAAAATTCATCCGAGTAACTAGTCTTCCGCGACTTTCCACTCGAAACCGAGTTCTCGTTCGTTACATCTGCTCAAATGAATTTATAATCGCTACCAAGTTTGCGTTTCCTCCCCCGTCCGACTTTGAAGGAAGAGGAAAACGTTTTCCCCCCGACAATGAACTGGTTATCTTTAAAGCGATAATATCGACGACGCATTCTTTTCACAGACACACGCTCCAATGAACTTTTCGCAATAGATTTTATAACGTGTCCACACCAAATGTTCTGAAATGTGCTTTATTTGTGGGTATGAGGACGGGCCGGGAGTCCATCTGTGAACTGACCACATCGTCATCCAATTTTTCACTCTTCCAGCTGACCGACGCATCACCGAGATTTATAACCGGAAATTTGGTCTATGACCATTCGCGTGATTGCGCCTCTGAAAAACCATGAGAAACGGACCCTGACGCCAGCGACGAATAAATTTCTATTAAACTGAAATTACTGATTCATTGTACGAATCGTTGGGAATCGAAGTATTTTTCTATCGTTAAATATAATAACATACAGGTCGCGAACGATGTGCAGCATCGAAAAAAACTAATCAACGAATGAAAGATCAGCGTGAAGTTGTAAACGGTTTTACCGGGCTCTGCTGTACGAATTGTTTCGCGGTAACACGTATTATAGCTGGCATCACCCGTTTTTTTCGGACAGATGCGCGAACTCGCACGAGAAGTCGTAACTCCGTTACGGTTCATTAAATCGGTGTAAATAATAACACGGACTGTATAGACAGGTATTTTATCGGGCGCAGAGGTAGACCGATGTCGGAAGTATAGGTGGCGGTCGCTTGGTTAATGTTCAACCGCCTTGCTAGATTTATGGCGGCAATATAGGCGTCATGGAGCACATTGTGCTTTGCACCCGTGAGCTGCAAGTTGATCCAATGTAGCATTCGTTACGCCATACCATTTGAACGTGTGCAGAACACTTGCGCGCCGTATACACGTATATTGGAATTCTTCTTGAAACGTCAAGGTAATAATTTGCGAGAAATGGGACAGATAAAAGAAAATAACTAATGAGAATAATAATCTTGGCTTGCTACTGTTTAATAAATTTATCGCTAGAATCGAACGATGTTAATGACTGATACATCTTTCTACTGGCAGTATCAAATTTTGTCAAAGGTAATACGAATGCTCCAAGCGTATTAAAGTCTTCTAAAATAGAAGAAGAGAAAAGGAAACGTGCCTCTTTTTCTAACTAAACGTGCACAGTAGAATTATTTAATACAATTAACATGATTAAAACAGTGGCGCTCATGAAACTTTCCGAAATAATTCACTTGAATAGGTTGACGGCGATAGCGACGAACAATAGGACTCGGATAAGACAATAACAAACATAGGAACTTAACAGCAATAACACTAAATTACGTAATTTGGGAACTAGAAGGATGGAGCACTCGAGTGATTGGAACAATAGGAACAAAGCTGAACTTGAAGAATATAAATCATACGACCCATAACCACTGGTAAAGCCAGAAGTTTGTGCTTTTTATAGAATAGTTGATAAACGAAATAATTCTTCAGTAATTAATGAACAAATATTTTTCCTTGCCACGCCTGTGCAAGGAAAGGAAACGATGGTAAGGCGGATGGTGAAACACATAATGCGGCTGCTGGCGATAACGTATCGCGTTTTAACGTGCGAGGTATACCGAAACGCGATACAGATACGACGAGGAAATTATTCCCATGATGAGGGTTGATACCTCTCGACCAGTTACTATCAAAATCCCATTACGAGACGGAAGTAGTGCCTCGAGCGAATTCGATGGCGCAGTCGGATAATACCGATATCAATTTCACGTCGCCGAGGAAAAACAGACGTCACGTCGTATAAAGTTGCTCGTGTCTTCAAGAGATACGTATGGCACGGTGGACTGGACAGACCTTTCTAATAGCAATAATGATTATTAACGGGTTTCCATTCCCTCAACGTAAAAGTTTTTTATTTTTTACTTATAACAATTTAAACCATCCGAAACCTACTAATGAATAGTTCAACAAAAATCAGTAACATGTTCTTCTTTCAAGTTTAAGAAACTATTTCTCTTAGAGTTTGAGTCGTAATGGAATAACAATTTCTACTGGAAAGGTTAAAAGAAGAGTACAACGGCACTTGTATAGGTTGACAACGGAAGATTTAATCGTTTAATGGAGTTAAACACTGCGTAAAAGTCGGGTAAATTGCCAGAGTGCTATGGCACTAGATGGAACCCAGGTAGAAAATGGAACCGGGAGGCATGGTGTTATTATTTGCAGAAATTACGGGGAGGAACGCGTAATGAAACATCGGTGTTCTGTTTTACCACCGTACGTTCGCGTTTTCATAACTGTGCTTTTGATAGTTCGTAAAACCGACATCATTTTACGCAAGGGAAAAAGGAGAACTGAAGAAATCAAATTTCTTGTGAAACCACAAAGTCCGTTCAATAGACGTGAACGAATTAGATGTAGTTAACTGGATTTCTTCGGATACGTTTTTAATTGTTACACTATCAGTAGACGGGTCTGCAAAGGCGACTTCTTCCGGACCTAACCTAATTGCAAATTTTCTGCTCGAGTAAATTGGTATATTCGTAACTTTCGACAGCCACGGGAATGATACCTAGACAAACAACACTTGAAACTTTTCTCGTTCCAGATCAGCTTTGTCCGCAAAGAGCTTCGCTTTAATTGCAAGGTCCTGTTTACATTGTGCTTTATCTGTGTCCCCGACAAGGACACCACGAATTTTATCGCTCCCACCGAATCTAGCCCGATTAGGTCGTTCCATTTCGTTACGAGCGATCCGGGTGTGTTTTCACCAACGCCTGATCGCCTGGAGGGCCCAACAAATCGTAGGAATATAAATTTATACGAATTCCACGCTCTTCGAGAGCTATAAAAGTGGGCGAACGGTGAATTTCATTTTTCATTATCGAAGGTACGACTTCCTTTCGCCTTTATGGAAGGTATAATGGCTCGACGTGAAGAGAGTAGATAGGGAACGTCATCTTAGGAAGGTATAAAAAGAAGCACTTATTCCCGAACAACTTCCCTTTTGCATTTTATTCGAGGGCCCGAGCTGTTCGGGCTATTCGAATTTTTAATGTCGAGTTTATAAACTTAAATAGCCTCGAACATATACATACACACACACAGCTAATCGATGTATTTCATGATCGACATAGTTAGATATTCGATAGTTCAATTTCAGAAATATGTCATTGCTTATAACACGATCGAAAAATTTCATCTGCAAGAAGTTTCATAATGGAGGGACCGGGTTATGTGGAAAGAAGTTCAGCTTCGTGAATCGCCGACGAGATTTATCGGTAATAAAATGAACGATCACTGTGCCTAGAGGGACAGAATACGAAGCAAAGGGGAAAGGATGAAATTCACTAAGGGATGAAGGAGGGCACCGGTTTCCCCAAGGTAGCTGAAACTTACGAGGCACTCCGCTAAGTTCTAAGACCACAATTTAACAGCTAAGGGGATTAGATCGACGACGTACGAGCCACCAAAAGGGCGGAGTATTAAATCGACCGATACAGTATTGTTTTGGTTAGACGCACGATATTGCAAATGATTGAAAAATGCAAGGAACATTACGCTTTCGATGTACCACAAGCATGAAAAAAGTTTAGATATGTATAAACAACAAGAAAATATTTCACAATTATTTCCTTGAGAAGCACACGTTTACTACTAGGAACTGGAGCTCAAGTTTAGATCCTTGGGAGTAGATCATTGCGTCCTAATGTTATTAAATTGGGTGTACTGTATTCTAACAGTTTCGTGATTAAATTCTTATGCCCAGGGTTCACAAGTTTGAATCCGTTTTTCTTGGCAATCTGGCATGAATCCCTTGATCCTAGGTTTCCTGGAGTCTTTCGACCCAGGATTAATTTGATTTAGTTCTCTTGACCGACTGCCTTTGATCAACGCAACTCTCTTAGGGTTGGAATAGACTGATTCCAATCTCCTGGTCCGGGTTAATTTAATTCGAGTGTCGTGGTCGTAGATAGTAACATTTTAACGTATTCTACGGAACACGCGTCTAAGCGTGTTTCAGCCGCCTTAATTACTATTGCTGACGGATGTTCATAATTGAGAGGTCGTAACCGTCAGACTGTTGTTTTATATGCACCGGGAAACACGCAAAACCTTCTAACAAACCAACCAGAAACTTAGCAAAAGTCCTTGTAATACCGGATTTACGAGATCTCGTGAATTCCTGGATTCCTGCGGACGCTTCAACTCGAGTTTCTTGTTTGTGCTTCATCGCTCCTCTAATCCCGGACACTGCACGAAGCTCAACCGACTGCACGACACTCCTCGCGTGAACGGAACTTCATTTTTTACAGATTGCAATTTCCCAAGTTGTTGGATAATGGATGCAGCGTTGTATTCGGAATAATTTGCTTCTACGCAGTGAATCCAGTTGTTTTAATTGCTTTATACCTCCGATTGTGCGGCGAACTCCCCTTTAACTGAAATAAGATTTATGCAGCGACTGTTAGACTTATCGATAGTGTTCGCTAACGGTATTCTCCCTTATTGATTTTCGGGGGAACTGACTATTAAACGTTTCAATATGAGCAAAACAATTTTAATTTTGAAATGTTTGACACAACGTCTTTGAAAGTGTAGCTTCATACATTTACATGGAAGGAAGAAGAAATTGGACATTTTGAGCGTTGTTTGAAAGCGTTGCAAAACATTCCGCAAAACGAGAAAGTTTTAATATATCGAGAACGGTACGGCGCTCAAGAATATTTGGCTCTCCATGGGATTCCATGTAAAGTCTGGCTTTACGAGATAAGGCAGAATTCCAGGATGCCGTGAGATCCTCCTACACGAACTCCTTATTTGTTACGACTAGTGT